TTTGATTGCTATCGAATGCAATTTAACGATTTTTGCGTGACATCTGTACGTAAGGACAGAATAAAAGACTCTGCCCCCCCCCAAAAAATCATAAAACTGTTTAAAAGGAATTCTGAAGATAATTTTTAAAATAAATTTTTATGCTTCTCTTATATCTCTTATATGTTTGTAATCGTGCATTTTTTGCTTTAAAAATGATAGAATGATGTTGTTCTTATCTTCCGGTTAATGTTTTTATGTAATCTTTAGTAATCTGCCGCGATATTTGTTAGAGTTATCAACATTTAAAAGTTGTTTAAGTGCGGGTATGCCTAATTATTTTGCCATGGTGGCCATGTTTGTTACATTTCAAACTTGGCAAATAGCGGATTTGTTGCCAATCTAGAGAAACTTATCTTCGCAACAACAAAGAACGCCTTATTATTGGGAATTAAAATCATGCTTAATACAGTCTGGAATTTAGGAAATAAGTGTTTCAGATTTACTTGAAATTTTAATATAGATATTTGAGTTTTTATGTATTTTTGCCTTGTCACGAAGTGAAAACTGAATTAATTGAATGAGAAATGAATCGTCTGTGAAAAAAAAATTGTTTCGTTATTTGCTTAATTTCTTTTTATTCGCTTTGATTTATTTAGTACTTGAATAGAACATGTGGCCAACGATTAGATAATTCTTCAAATGATATAAATTTTGTACATTCTGAGTTATAATATGAACGAAGTGTAGCGCTGTTAAGTGAACGTCAGAGTATCGATATGAAAAACAAATACAGTGAATTTTAAAGAGTGCATTTATTCTAATGTGGTTTATGCGCTATCGACGAAGTAGATTTAATTCAATCGAAAAAGTTTAAATGAAATGCAAGAAAAAATACGTATAATTTAATATTCCTTACAAGGAAATCATGTCGTGTATACATCAAATTTGTTATGTAAGTATTCTTATATTATCTGAAAGTGTAGGATACGTAAGCTACAGAACAACTGAAAGTGTTAACTACAAAACAACTTCTAACACAAGTATTTTTAACAAGGTAGTTTTAATTGGAAAAATTACATTTACTAACATAATGTTTTAGTACAAGTTGTTAATAAATAATACTTACAAAAGATGCATTTTTACACTTAATGCCACATTTTGATATGGCTAACGTGCAAATACATAATGAAGTTCAAAATGACAGTAAAATTCGTTTGGTCAATCCAGCGATAACAGTAATATGGCACAGCTAAAATGGCAGAAGTCCGAGAGATTTTAAAGAATCGCAGTTGAAAACTGAGAGTATATACTGCAGTATTTATGTAATTCGACGCTGCGTTATTAAGCAAATAAACTACCCATCCACTACTTTTTTCAACTGCAGGTTTTGTTGATTTTCTTTTGCATTCAATAAAAATATTTTTATTTACATATCTGTAAACAGGTAATAAATAACTATAAAAGAATTATAATATAAATTTGGTTTTAAAAATTTCTGCTTTTAATAATCTGATCGTATTCTTTTAGCTTCTTTTTAAAATTTTAAATAAGCAAATTGTAAAAAATGCCTAGTTGTCTTTTTTTATGGTTTCATTGCTTCTTCTATCTTTTTTACATTATTGATAATTTTATTGTAGCATTTTAACAGCTTTAACTCTTTTATATAGCTAAATTACACGAATAGAAAAAAATTAAAAACTAATAATTTTTAAAGAAGCATCAATTTAAATTTCGTTGGAAAAATTTCATTTTTTCTCCATAAGTTTTCCATATATATATGAAAATTTACTAGAAGAAAATTTTTCTAACAAGTTTCTGAAATTATGTCTCAGTATATGAGTTAGACTGTGTCTTCTAAACTGTAGAGGATTTAAGAAGTAAATTTAAATGTAATATACAAATTTAAAAAGAAAAGCGATATTGATAGACTTTCTTTTTATTATTAAATTCCTACTCTCCTTATATCTTGCTCAAATTTTCAATCGTTAATAAAATTCTTTTTATTCCTCCACTCAAGTTCAAATACATTTTTTTAAAACTTGTAGTTGATGACGCTTCGATGTTAATACAGCTTTTTCATATTCAGTTAATACAGTCAATTCCTACTTATTTATTCGCGTTTATCGGAAATAAAGATATGCTATTTTATATAAGACTTACAAATAATGACCGTTTATTAGGAATTCTTACGTGCTGTAAAAATTAATTTTATATCAACTTATAAATAATAGTACACGACTGTGAGAAATGGGATTCTAATATTTAACAAAAATAAATGGCAACAGTAAGACAGAGTTCTAAAGATTTTTAAAGTGTATGGAATTAAAGAATTGTAGTTTTATAGAGTTAGATGAAACGGATGTAATGTCCCATTAATGTAGCGAAAATTCTCGCCATATTTCTATGTTAACGTAATAATAATATACGTTTAAAATATAACCCTTCAAAATGTCTCTTGTTTATTAAAATAAATAAATAGCACTGTAGATTATGCAGTAATATAATCTAGGACGAAAACTCTTCGCAGTAGGTCAAGCATACGTCTCCTTGAGTCGTGTGAAATTATTAGATGGAATATTAATTGAAGAACTGGACTGCTCGAATCTCACTGGAAAGATTTCTTGCAGTAATGAAGCATAATTAGAGAGGGATATAATGAGAAATTATAGACCACCATCAACTTAGAGTAAATTAGAAACAAAAAATGTTAATAATGTTAATAAAAAGTAACCAAAATAAAATTTTTCTTTGTTGACCTACGTAGGAATTAATTATTTTTAATATTATTTGTTTAGATTAAAATTATGAAATAATGTAAGCAATATTTTGTTCTATTTAAAAGCACTTACGAACTGGCAAAAAGGAACTTGAAGGAACTTTGTTCAATTCCGTTTTGTGGACCGTAAAAAATCGCCAAACTCTTTTTGATGCCAGTGCTGCCAAAAATAATTGTGGCAACCCTAACGTAAGAAATAAAGTATAATAGTAAATAACTATCTAAGATTATTGTTTAATTTATATGAAAAGTTAAATTTCATATAATGCTTTTTTATTATATAATTTGTATAAAAAAGGCTAAACATAACTGAAAGGAAGCATAAGAGTAAATAACTATTTTAGATCATTATAAATTTATATATAAAAAGGCTAAGCATACTGAATGGATTCCTGCATCGCTATTTCGTTACCGAGTTATCGATAAAGTTAATTTCATCTCGTTGGTTATTCAACATAATTTTCTATATAAATGATGCCTTTTCTTTGAAAAAATTCTATTGCAGACTTTTCCTCATGGGCAATTCCCAAATTGTTAAATCCATAGGATATCAAAAAGGATTTAAAAACTGAACTCTATTTCAATAGCATCTTAAAAAATATAAACTATCTAAAAATTACGCATTTTGAAATCAGCGCGTACGCTAGATTTGGCGCGCTGTTAAATGAGGACGTTTGCTAGATTTGGCGCTTTTGCGGATACATTTTCGCTGCAATTTTCTACGGTTCTCAAAACGGAATAATGCCAGAACTTTTTTTATGAGTAAACATTCTTCAATATAAAATTACACGGTTTAAAATGTTTTGGCTTGTGATAGGAAAATATATTAATTCTCGCAAATATTAATGCCTTTTGAAATAGGAAATTGGACAGCTATTTGGAAAAGCATGTAGAGTCGCATGGCTTGCTAATTTGCCAAACTTCGTTAATGAGAGTGTTACCTCAATTTTTGTATGTGTGTGGTTGTTTTGACTGAAAATAAAGTAAAAAATATTAACGCGTACAGCAGGAGATCACGATTTTCTTCTTCCTTTCCGGCACCCAAAACTTGGTCGATGCAATGAACAATTCCGTCTTTGGTGAGACATCAGGTTCGATAACGTGGGCTGAATTTACCATGAGTCCATTCTTTTCTTGTGAACCTTCACAGTCTGGTACTCTGTTCGAACATTTATTGCAGCTTGGTGTGGATGGAGCCTGTCGATAACATGTTGTCCACTACATGATTCTGCACCATCTAAAACGAGACATATATAATTTAATAGAAAGAACAGCTTATTGGGGATCTAAGCGAACACAATATGGAAAGGGATCTAAATGTATATAAAGAATGGAATAACCCTTTCCGACACGCTACCTTTTAAATATTGGAATTTCGCCCCCTACACCCGCCCCCAAAAAAAATCTGAAAGTCTTCAGATTTCACATTGCGTCTAAAGGGGCGTTTTTTTTTAACGTTTTGTGTGTTACCTTTATTTATTAAATATCATATTCTTTGCACTTAAACCGTAAAATTCACTTCAACTGCAATGTCGCAAAATAATTTTTAAATGAGCCTATCTTTAAAATTTCCGATACAGAGTTCCACGCGCTGGAGATTAAAAGGTTTCCCCTTTCCCCGTAGAGTGTTGCTATTGCTCGCTTTTAAGTCGTTGAGTTTGTTAATCAAGAATTCGTCAAAGTTTAAAAAATATAAAATCGATAATAAAACAAATTTCAAATTTTGGGCTTTCAGATACCCATATTCGCAAATGGATTACGTCACTCAAAATTGGATGGCTGTAGGTATACAGTCAAGAGCCAAAACATTATGACCAGCCCTACATTTTCCGATGAACGCGCCTGGATGACGTGGAAGGCACGTGATCAGGTAGAAGTGGTATTTAACTGGTGCTGGAGAGTCTGAAGAATCATTCTTTCACTTACTTCTGTGTGTGATGGGAAAGGCTGCAGACCTAAGCGACTTTGATAGAAGGCAGATTGTAATGGCTCGAAGTCTCGGAACAAGTATTTCCGAAACTGCACGATTCGTGGGTTTTTCGCGATCTACAGTTGTTAGTACGTATGAAAAGTGGATGAATGACGGTGAAACCAGCAGTAGACGACATGGTGTTGGACATCCACACGCTATCAAAGAAAAAGGTTGTCGGAGACTGTCTCGCATGGTGAAGCAAAACCGGAGCCAGACAGTGGCTCAGCTGACAGCCGAATACAATGCAGGGCCAAGTAGAAAAGTATCGGAGCACACTGTTCAGCGGACACTGTTGGATATGTGGCTACGCAGCAAACGTCCCACTCGTGTGCCTTTACTGACCAAGCGTCATCGCCATCTGCGCCTGCGCTGGGCCCGGGAACATCGCGACTGGTCCATGGATCAGTGGGAGAGAGTTGCCTGGTCAGATGAATCATGGTTTGTCATTCATAACGCCGATGGCCGTGTCAGGATACGCCGTCTTTCAGGCGAACAGTTGCTCCCTCAATGCACAGTAGGTCATATACAGGCCGGTGGTGGCGGTATTATGCTCTGGGGGACGTTCTCTGAGACCCATGGTTGTGGGAGAGATGAATGCTACAGGGTATCTGAACATCATTGCGGACCAGTTGCACTCTTACATGGCCTCTGTTTTCCAGCTGGAAATGGAATGTTCCAACAGGACAACGCCCAGTGTCACAAGGATACAAATGTGTTGGAGTGGTTCCAGGAACATGATGCTGATTTCCAGTTAATGTCCTGGCCGCGTAACTCACCGGATCTCAATCCGATAGAACACATTTGGGATGTCATGGGACGGCAACACAGAGGTCAAAGACCGCCAATTCGCAATATCTCGGATTTGCATGACCATCTATCCATGGCCATCTATCAAGGACTTGTGGCATCCATGCCAAGGCGGGTTGAAGCTGTGTTGCGCGCCAAAGGTGGCCCAACTAGTTATTGACAGATGGTCATAATGTTTTGGCTCTTGCGTGTAGTTCGACCGTTTCAACCGCAACCCTGGTTGGGATTCTGCCAAAACACGTAGACTCGTCCAAAAGGGGCGGTATTACTTGCTGCAACGTGAAAGGTCTTCTCTTCTCCGGAAAGAGCTATGCTCGAGGGAAAGAAAATCCCCACCCTTCCACCCTATTTTGAGAATAATTCGGTCCGAATGGCGCATGCGTGTTTGCGCTCATGGTCGCGGATGAGCTGGTCGAACTATACAATTGTTTTATCACAATGCGAGAAACATACATACATTTATGCAGATTCTTCAATATTTAATTTCTTCAAATATAATACAGGGCGAAAGCATTTGGTGGCAACGATTTGAAAAGTAATATAGGGTTCCAACGCAAAATCGCAAAACGAAAACAATAGTCCTTCAGCGACAAAGCCCCTTTGGACTAAAAATGGTAGACAGTCTAATCAGGCCTAGAGGAGTACATACAGCACTTACCGTTTTAATTCTGTGTGTATGAAGTGTTTCCTGAAGCGGGCATCGAAAAGAGTGCAGAAGTGAGCATTGCTCGGAAGCACGTAATAGATTTTGCCTACGATTAAAAACACACTACATTCTAAATACCGTAGCAGATTAAGCATTACCCAGGGTGTGCCACAGGGAGGCCTGCTACTCTATCCCCGTCCCCCCCAAAAGCTCTTCTTGGTAATATGATGATTACATGCATATAAATGAGAAAAAAAAATAACTTGAGTATATGATATTTACATTTCATATTTACACCTTTGTGTATTGTTTTTTCGTGGTGGTACCTTTCGATGAAAGTGACACCACATTTACAAATGCACAACCCAACATTGCATGTTTTGCACATGTACCGGGATCCATATCAAATACACTATCTGAAAGCAATTCGTGTAGCACTTTCAGTGCTTCAGAAATGGCCAGCCCTTTCGTAACCATTTGCAAAATAATTAAAAATCAGAAAAAATAAACTAATATTATATTAATAATAGAAATAATTAGAAAATAATAATTAGAAAAATTTAAACTATAAAATAAATTGAATAAACCGTTTACAACTCAAAACTGTCAAAACGTAGCGCTAACAAAACTTCTTTGAACGAAAGCGAAAGAGAACTGCTCTAGTGAAAAACCAAACAGCTGACTAATAAATTACCCCTGACCTTCAGAAAATCACTCCAACAATTTCTTAGTTGATAACGAAACCTGCCCTTCAACAGCAACAAACAAAAAAAAAAAGGGGGGACATGAAATACAGATGTGGACCCACCTTTCTATTGTGAAGACGTAGAGCTGCAGTGAAAAAAATACAGTTGTTGTTTTGGTCCTAGTCGCTTAGTGAGCCCCCTCTGGGCACACCTGATGTTCGTCGTTCGATTTTAGGCATTATTTCAAGGTCAAAATTTAAAACTACTATAGAATAAGAAGATTAGCATATAGCCAAGAAAAATAACATAGAAATTTATTATCAAACTATTCCTTTTATATACTTTCTTTCTTTTCAACCATCGACGGAACAGCTGGCCCACTGGGTTAGGTGCTTTTCCTTTTATATACTAAAAAATATCTGGAAGATTTCTTTGAAAAATGTAGGTCTTTAAAAACTAAACATGGCTAAAATATATGGACTGTTTTGTGTTGTGCTGGCCATCTAGTATAAATAAAGAAGTTTCAGCGTAACTTATAGTAAACCATAAATCCTTTTCATTCATTTTTTCCTGTGAGTACAGAGGGAAATTTTTAGGTGTGCCCAGACCGGGCATACCGTGCCGCAAAGGGATAAAAAATGGAGTGATTCAGATCGTAGAAAGGACTACTTAGAAAACACTGAAGTCTGGATAAAAATGAAAACCAAAACCGATGAAGACCTCTGTCACATTCTTTTGGGTTATGGTAGATTCCCGGCTTACGTAAACAAATTTAAAATTCAAGAAAACGCTAACTGTTTACTATGCAGAAAGCTGGTAAATAACAAGCACTAGGTGGAAGAATGTTATTAGGTATTTTCTCCTGCCCTTCGTGGTGTGGTGGTCTGCACCCTGGGCGCGTATTCCAGAGGTCCCTGGTTCGATTAACGGCGAAGGCAGGACTCCTTCTTCTGTCATTTTTCCTTACTCCTGCTTCTCAAAAATTCCTAATGTCTCTACAAGTGGCGCCTGATTTAAAAGAGTGGTGGATGATGATTCTCCACACCCAGGATTTGGCGATTGGGTCCCCTAAAAACTCCAATCGCCCTTTAAAAGGGAGAGTATATAAGGTATATCTCCCGTCTTCTTAGCGTGCCTTTGTGGTGTGGTGGTCTGCACGTTGGGCGCGTATTCCAGAGGTCCGTGGTTCGATTCCCGGCGAAGGAATTGCTCATCTTTCCGACTTTCACAAAATGAAGCAAAATACATAGCAAAAGAAATTATGGAAAAATTAATAAAACCCCGTTCGCAATTGGAATAGAACAATAACAAAGAACAACCCAATATGGCTGCTGGAGACTTCGTTTATTCATATTGTGTTGTCCTATATATTTTTTCCTTCGTGGCCAGTCTAGAAAAGCCACAAGGCGAGCTTGGGCTTGCCAGGAAATTGGACCGGGCCATACCTACACACCTACATAATTTAGACGACAGTATTTTCAACTTTCACAACTGAAGACAGAAATATTAGTTGATGCAAGAAGCCAGCCATCTTAAACTCTAAAATTAAGCAAAATTTATAAACTTTTTATGTTATTTAACTCAAATATCTCGTAATTTTAGCTAGAATGCAAATTAATTAATTTGTCAACTCCTGCTAGAATTAATCTGTCGACTCTTGCTGTCCCATTTTTGTCAACTCCTGCTAGAATGCAAATTAATTAAGTATACGAACGCATTGAGTGTTCCTGAGTTTCAGAAACAGCTTTTGGTAGCCTTGCTGATCGTTCCTTCATGACGCATCCTTGCTGCTTGAACTGATGCATCGGCTTTAGTTTTGCCAAGCCGCATTTGCTTCAAGAGTATTTAGGACCGAGTGAAGACTAATTTATATATGTGCTAATTGTGTTTCACATTATAGTTTGACTTAAACGATTGTTCTGTTTACCAACAAACTGCAGAAATTAATTATGTTTCCGTTATACTTTTGAGGTTTATGTAACAGTGAGGTTGATGTGTTGATAAATACAAGGTGATCCAAAATAAACCGAACGAGATTTGTGAAAGCAGAAACCAAAAATCATTAGTGTATTCAACGTAGCAACAAGCAATAATATCAACGCATCAAGCAACAATAATATCAACAC